GGTGGGAGGATTGCTTGAGCTCAGGAGGTCGAGATCAGCCTGAGCAAGAGCGAGGCTCGCCCCCTGCCCCCAACTAAAAATAGAAAAAGTTAGCCGGGTGTTGTGGGAGCGCCTGTAGTCCCAGCTCAGGTGGTGATGTGAGCAATGGGGAACAGGTTGCCTGCTGCTCACCTCCTGCTGTGCGGCCCCCCAGTGGTCCCTCCACTTCCTAAGTTTCATGGAGGACGGTGGGGGAACTGCAGTTCTAGATAATTCTTATATAGAAGGTGAGAAGAATGGAGCTAGGCTAAATTTATGGTTGGTGAAAAGCAACAGTCATTCGCATCAGTCAGGACAGGGAGGGGTTTGCTCCTTTTTGTGGTTTGAATAATGTTCTTGTTTTGTCTGTGTTCAGACATGATTATGGAGCCCGTCTAGTCTCTGCCAAAAAAATGCCAGGGATTGCTAGGAGCACCAGAAGCTAAGAGAAAAACACAGAATGGATTCTCCTGTGGAGCCTGCAGAAAGAGCACAGCCCTGCCAACACCTCTGATTTCAGACACCTACCCTCCAGAACCAGGAGACAATTCATTTCTGTTGTTTAAAGCCACCTGGTTTGTGGTACTTTGTTATGGTAACCCTGGAAGACTGATACAGATGTCAACTTTAAAGTGTATAGTTTTTCAAGATCCTTTTTGGGGGCATATGAGGCAAACAGTTTGCTTTTAGATCAGAGTTTTTCAAAAGTGTCAGTGCACCACGAGATTCTGATGCATTTCACTTTCTTGGGGGCTTATTTTAAGTCATTTCCTGGGCTCCTTCCAGATGCACAGAATGGGTGTGGGCCCTGTATTCTGCATTTTAAACAAGTTCCCAGGTCTTCTGCATCTTAATCCACTGCTGAAGTAGGAAGATTTCTGGGCTGCAGACAAAGATCTCCACAGGGGATTTAATCCTCACCTGGGCTGCCCCTTAAATTCCCAAATTCCCTATGCCTCAGCTTCATTTGTCACTTAGGAATAATAATACCTCTTTGTCCTACCTCACATAATTATTGTAAGCAAAAAGTGTTAAGCTCTTTGGTAAAGTGTAGTAGTTTTTATACTTGTGAAAATCTATTATTGTTTCACCTTTTGAACAAAGACATTTTCAGGGATAGAGCTTCCAACACCAGAAGATGGAGCAAAGGGTAATTTAAGAGTTAAAGCATACACACTAGTGGGGAACACCCTGGCTCCAGTCCAAGCCACAACTCTGACATGTATTCACTGCACAGCATTTGTAAAAATTGGGGCTGTGGATAGACTTCTAAGAATCTGTCCAGGCCAGGCGCGGTGGCTCACATCTGTAATCCTAGCCCTCTGGGAGGCCAAGGCGGGCGGATTGTTTGAGCTCAGGAGTTCGAGACCAGCCTGAGCAAGAGCGAGACCCCGTCTCTACTAAAAATTAGAAAGAAATTAATTGGACAACTAAAAATATATAGAAAAATTTAGCCGGGCATGGTGGCGCATGCCTGTAGTCCCAGCTACTCAGGAGGCTGAGGCAGGAGGATTGCTTGAGCCCAGGAGTTTGAGGTTGCTGTGAGCTAGGCTGACACCACGGCACTCACTCTAGCCCGGGCAACACAGTGAGAGTCTGTCTCAAAAAAAAAAAAAAAAAAGAATCTGTCCAGCTCTGACACTCCACAAGGCTACGAAATACTCCAAGAGTTGGAGTGGAATAGCAAAGTCACATAGATGCCTTTGCTTTGGAGACAGGGCAAGGCAAAGCACCTTATCCATCCAATTACTTTGCATGTTAAAACATTGTTTGGGCTAACTGAGCCAGCCTCTCCCTTGCACTGCGACTGAGTCAGCACACAATGTGGCCCCTTCCCACCTGCTGTCACCTCTGCAAACAGGGCTTCTAGATCTGGAAGCTCTAGGGATAGGAGCCCTTCCTATTTATCTTTTTGTAAAACACCTACCAAAACAAGATGACTTTAGGTACACCTTCCCCAAACTTGGCTTGGCTGCAATGACAAGCTTTGTACATACAGGAAGATCTGAGCTTCCTTTGGTTCTTTCTCTCCCAATCCATCTCTGACTGATCTTTTGACTTCTTTTGCATAAGAAACTCCTCTTCTTAGAGTGCTTCTCCATTAACACTGGAAAGTGACCAGCTCTGAGCCCATTATGTGGACCCCAAGTAACAACACAACCCTAAAACCATTTGTGGCTTTTGAAAAAGGCTCTCTCCTTGACCAAACTTGAGTCAGGCTCCTCTGAATCCCCTTTTTGACTAGGCCCTGAACTTGGGCTCTGTCCTTGGCTTACTAAGTCCAGTTTTATCAAGAATCCTCCTGAGTCAGTTTAGCAAAAATCCCCCATAGTTGGTATCTGATCACTCTAGCCTTTATGTTTCCTTTTAGCAATTTTTCATCCACTGACCCCCACCCTGCTCCTTAGCTATAACTCTCCACCTGTCCTTGTATTTGATGTTGAGCTTGATCCCTTTTCCCTACTGCAAAACCCCTTTGGCAGCCAACCCTCTTGAATAAAGACTTCCTTACTGTCTTTATCACTAGTCCCATTTCCTACTTCAACATGCTGTTGGAGTCTGTTTTCTGATCTGTATAAGGAGAAGATCAAGTGAGATTAAAAATAACTTTGATAAAGTATAAAGATAAAATCACTATTTAGGGGCAGGAGTCCCAGTCTTAGCTCAAGCAGTTCTACTGGCCTGGCCTTGCCTTAATTTGCTTGGAGTAGGAGGAAGGATGCTGGAAGAAGCTGAGACCACCCCTGGAAGATGAATAGGGAAGACTGCCCTCAGCCTAGACCTTGAGTTCGTTTGACTCAGGAGGTGAAAAGAAGCTCAAGGTAGCCGGTGAGGCAGAAGTTGCGCACTTTGGTGTCCACGTGGGACCAACATGGGAGAAAGAGGCATTCTGCGCTCTGCCCAGGGATCGCGGCTTCTTTGGCCCTGGACCATTTGCAGTGTGTGGAGGTGGCAGGGCACCCCAGTGACACAGGCGCGGACGTGCCCTGGGCGTCACCGGGCAGCGGGCATTTGTTGGGGGAGACACCCTGGGAGGGTTTCCTGAAACGATGCGTGAACCTTCCAGCTACGGGAACCCCCAACATATGGATCCCTGTCGTTTTTCGTGGCCCCTTCCGTCTGCAAGTGCGGGCGAGACCGAGCACAGGGGCGGTCCGACTCACGCAGCGCAGAGTCCTCGGGCTGGAAGGGGCCCTGGGGACCGCTTGGAGGAGAGGGAATCTAGGCCATCACCGGCCCAGAGCCTGGTACAGAGTGAACACCACCAAACATGTATTGTATAAAGGCGTGTAGGTGCGTTCTCCAGGGCCACGCCACTAAACCAGCACCAACTTCTAACCAACACCAAGTAGCTCAGCTCTGGAGCAAGGGTAAAGCCCCAACCCCAGCGAGGAGACCCTCAGCTCCGCCCCTTCCGGTCGTGCTGCCCGCGCCTGCGCACTCGGGCCCGCCGCCGGCTGGAGGAATGTACTAACTGCGGGGATGTCGCTCCCCGAAGTGGCCCTTTGAGCGCCCCGGAACACGAAGTGCCCCCTCCCTCTCCTCTTGCCAGCTGTGTGGTGCGCTGCAGTTTCGGCCTGCGGCGCGGGGCGGCGGCGGGTGGCGGGCGCGGGGCCGCTGGGCCGCCGAGGGGGCGACGGCGGCTGCTGTGTGGAGCTGTGCCCGGCTTCGAGGCTTGGCCAGCGCGGTCTCTGCGGGCGGCCGGCCCCACCCCCGGAACCCGGCCTGAGGTAAGCCGGGGAGGGGGCATTGCCGTTCCCTCTCCACAGACCTGGCAGCCCAGGTGGCCCCCTCCTGGATTAGCCTCCTCTCCCCAGTTCCACCGCTCCTAAAACACTCCTCGTAAGCACAGAATCTTTCGGAACAGCCGGCTCTTACCCGCCTTTCCCTGTGTGCCAAGAACTGCCCTGAAATACCTTGACAGACATTAACTCATTTAACCCGCACCAGTCCCGTCAGGTGGGTGCTGTCGTTGTCCCCGTCGTAGAGACGAGGAAACCGGGGCTTGTGGCAGCACGATCACAGCCGGTGGGCAGCAGAGCCAGGATGTAAAGCCGCGGAGCGTGGCTGTGGGTGTCATGTTCTTACTCCATTATAAATTCTAACCCTAACCTCCCAGAAAAGAGCAAAGGGTTCTGCTGGTGTACCGTTTTAAACATATCTCATTTTAGGTCATTTTTGTGCAGTGCGAAGTCTAATGATGAGTGATTATTTGCAACATCTTTCTTAGGTTTTATAAGTAGCCAAATGTGCAGGTGGTACAAAACCCACAAATATATAGTGGCTCGCTCTACTCTCTTCCTTCCACATGTTCCTGTCTTCCCATCCTTTTCCTCACCGCCTTTCAGTCTTCTCACAGGTGGGGATGGGGCCAGAGACACCCAGGGCTTGAGGGCCCAGCAAGTGCTCACAATCCTCTGCTGGGTGGGGTGGAATGGACACTCCCTCCCCCAGTGCAGGGGGTGAGAGGAGAGGGCTGGCGGGCCTAGGCCGAGTGAGGAAAGGAAGACCGGGCATAATTATGGAGTGACTCAGGCATAGGAGAGAGAGGAGTGGCCCCTTTCCTTCTGGGCATGCATGTAGGAAAAGGATTGGGAAGAGCGGTGAGAAGGAGGCCTCTGATTTATTAAGCCAGTGCCTAAGTGCTCAGGTGTCTCCCACCCCGGGCTAAGCTAGGTCATTCAGCCAGAAGGAATCAGTAGACTCTTAGGCAGAAGCTCCTCAGCATTAGCCTAAGATGGACAACTCCTTGCAAGACAAAATCTAAGTTCTTCAGTGTAATAGCCTCTGTTTATCGGTAGGTCAGCCTGAGCGCCCCCCCACAAAAGTCCTCCCTGCCTCATGGCACCATACCCCACTTTCCCTTGCTCTGCTGTAATGAGCCCATTTCTAAGTTGTCTTCTGTCCTGAGCCATGAGTGGCAACCAGGCACAGTGCTGGCTCCTACTAGATATTTGATGAATTTTTGTTACTTGATTGAATGGACCAAGGGCTTGCCTCCCACCGTACCCATCCTGCTTCCTTCCCATCTCTGAGGCTAATCCCATCCACCACCCATGCCCTGGATCCCTTTCCCTAGGAAGCTCTTGTTGTGGATTCCACCTCTTTCCTGTATAGTTAGCTTGATCCTCTTCCTGTTGCACCTTCTGTTTAGAGACACAGCCAAGCCTTTTCCCTCCCACTCTGCTTCCAGCATTCCAAGTTCCTGCTTCTCCCACACTCTTGCTGCACCGCGCACAGAAGTGACTTTTGACCTTGTTGCCCACTCTTTCCTTGAAAGTCTCTTCCCTTGCTTTCCATACCCTCACTTCCCTTTGGGTTTTCGTTGTGTCTCCCCTCTGCCCCTGAATCATCTTTGAGACCTCATCTTCTACCCTCCCCATATTGTCAGCGTTACCTGGCAGCTACCCTCCATTCTCTTCTCCTTTTGGTGTTTTCTCTCAGCTTCTGTGAAAACTTGCCTGAAGATTTGTTCCAAAAGAACCTCAAACTCAGCATATCCCAGACTACCTGTGTGAGTAAATAGGCTCACTAGGGAGTCACTCTAGCCCTTCTTCCTCCTCTCCATTGGGACTCCAGCATAATCTACCTCCTGAACAGTCCTCTACAATGTCTGTGCCCTCCACCCCTCTGTCACTACCCTGCCCTGGCCCTCCTTACCTCTGACTTCCCAGTGCTATGCTGGCCTCCCGTATGGCCCTACTGTACACCTTCCAGACTGCTGCCCACGTGGTCTGCCCATGGGAGACTTGCCTCAGCTTGGAGCCCTTCGAGTCTCATCTGGCTGTGGTTGTGGTCCTCCAATGTTTGTTGGTCACCTGTGGTGACATGTATCACAAGTAGCTTCTTACTAATAAAGTACTGGAGTTTGTGGATGACTTTCTTTTTAAAATTTACATTTCAGATTGATGTAGATTCAGGGTTGGCTGTCAACAATGTCAGCCTAGCTGTCATCCTCATGTGCCCCAGTGGAAGAGAACGTGGTGGTGTTTCTGTCGTACCGGTGACTGTGGGAAATCCTGGATCCACCCAGCGGCTCTATCAGGAGTTAAAGATCCAGAAGCAATAGCCTAAGGTAAACAACCCCTTATAAGAAAAACTCTAAGCTCTTCAAAATAACAGACCGTTATTGGTAGGTCAGCCTGAGGCCCCCCCCCAAGCCTCTTCTGCCTCATAGCACTGTACCCCACTTTCCCTTGCTTTAGTGTGATGAGCCCATTTCCAAGTTGTCGCCTCATCCTGAGCCATGAGTGTCAACCAGGCAGTTACTTGTATCTTGAGGGTACAAATGCTAGTTTATAGTAGATATTCGATGAATTTTTATTAAATGATTGAATGGATCAAGAATATCTGTGGAAGTGTAGAGTTTCTGATGGGACGGGCTAAGTGGGAAAAAGAACAGGATTGGTGGCCGGGCGCGGTGGCTCACACCTGTAATCCTAGCACTCCGGAAGGCCGAGGCGGGCGGATTGTTTGAGCTCAGGAGTTTGAGACCAGCCTGAGCAAGAGCGAGACCCCGTCTCTACTAAAAATAGAAAGAAATTAATTGGACAGCTAAAAATATATAGAAAAAATTAGCCAGGCATGGTGGTGCATGCCTGTAGTCCCAGCTACTCGGGAGGCTGAGGCAGAAGGATTGCTTGAGCCCAGGAGTTTGAGGTTGCTGTGAGCTAGGCTGACGCCACGGCACTCTAGCCCGGGCAACACAGTGAGACTCTGTCTCAAAAAAAAAAGAACAGGATTGGTGCCCTGGGGTAAATTGGTAGGTCTGCAGATGAGGGTTTGGGGCTGTGACCAGGCTGCAGTGCTGAGAGACAGGTCTTTCCCTTTTCTGTCTCATTGTCAGGAGGGGCTGGTTCTATGCCCCATTCTGTGTCCTCATCCATAGCGATAGAGCCTACAAACTGCTTCTGGAGGCTTGGATGTTAACACTCTGGGTTGCAGTTTCCTTGGTCATGAGATAAGAGTTGAGGCAAGTCTCCTCTAGTTCTCAGTTCTGATGTCCGAAAGTGTCATTTGCACCTTTATCCAGCCCCTCCACAAGTGTCACTTCATGTGGGCCTTCATTTGTTGGATTTATGGTGGCTGACTAAGTTCTTGCAAGGTGGGCTTGAAGCTGTTGCCTCCTAACCCTTCTGAGACTCTCCTGGCTGGAAGGAGCTCCTCTCTGGCCAGAGTCTCACTTGAGGCAGCCCTGCCATCTCTGCTGATCCTCCCCTATCACTCAGTGTCAGCATATGCAGGTTTTCAATCTTTTTTTTTCTTGATAGTTTCAGTACCAGTAAGTCTACTTATTCATTGTATTTCCCAGCAAAAGAAGGGAATGGAAAAGAGTCAGCATGTATGTTACAAAATGATTAGAAAATGGGAAAGGAAGTGTTTGGTACAGCAAAATCAACCATCCAGTAGACACACCCCATCATGGAGGTATCTCCTGCAGTTCAGGAATGAGCAGCAGGGATCAGGGAGAGAGCAGACAGGTACAGGCTTTCCTACCCTCTCTCCCTGCCCGTAAATTCAAGATTTCTCACAAAGCTTTGGTTTCTAGCAGTAAACATAGAGACAGTTTTGTCTGTCTCCTATTAATCTAATGTCCACTTTGACCTAAGTCTCTTGCACCTGCGTAAAAGTTCCTGGTAACTTGAATATACGTTCACATTCCCATGCTTGGTCTCCTGACCTTTTTTTCTACATGGAAGGCCCCCGTTGCTTCTCTCTACTTTAGGATTACAGATTAAGTAGGTTTGATCCATCCAAATACAGTAGTGTCTTAAGTGTTTGGCATGAATCACATTGAGAAATTGGTCTTGACTCAGAAGCTGAGAGCAAGGAGGGTTCCTGACTTCTTCAGGATTTTTGCATAAATTATTTAAGACTTGTGGAGACAGCCTAAGAATTAAATGTATGTCTGTGTGGGTGTGTAGGTTTTTTTTGCAGGGGAGGAAGGGAACGAAGAAGAGGGTAGGGCAGGAGTCAAGTTTTTAGGACAGAGGATCTGGTCCAAAATAGGAAATAGGAGAAGGAGAGCACAAAAGAAAGGATGGTTCAAGATTCCCACTTTAAGAAGAGGGCCCCACAGACTAACGTGTCAGATCCTTTTGCCTGGCACAGAACCATTGGTCAAAGATGTTTTGGGCATTTTCTCTCAATACAAAAAGTTTGTAAACACACTGCAAAAGAACATGGAGAAAGACCAACACATTATATTTACACAAACCAGGCCACCCAGTACAGTTCCCAGTGCACACCGCCCACTGCACAGCCCCCAGCGCACACCGCCCACTACACAGCACCCAGTGCACACCACCCACTGCACAGCACCCAGTGCACACCACCCACTGCACAGCACCCAGTGCACACCGCCCACTGCACAGCCCCCAGTGTGCACTGCCCACTGCACACCACCCAGTGCACACTGCCCAGTACGCTACACCCACTGTGCACTGCACGATGGTTCTGTTGTGCTTGCTCCATTTCAGCACAGTGAAGGAAGTTCGCAGTGATCTCACAGCATGTAAACAAAACCCCCTTTTTCTCCTTTAGCTACCATGACACTATTAATCACGGCTGCAGCAGAGCAGGACACTGGCTCTGGGCACGGTCAAGAGGCCCTTGCTGTGGGTCTCCCTGGAAGCCAAGATTTTTGGAAGTTTAAGGATTTTAGTTTCTTGCTTCATATATCCATCCCTGGACTGCACAGGATGAGTACAGGGGTATTGGTCTTAAAACTTATCCTCGCCAACTCAATTTTTTGGGAACACACACACACACACACACACACACACACACACACACACATACCCTGTCGTACATGGTAAACCTAGCCTAATCCCGTGAAAGATGGATCTGGTATGTAAAGCATGTCTGGTACCCTAGGATTGGGCAACCCTCATCTAACCTTGGCTTCCTCTCTGTACCTTTCACTTGGCCCAGCCTCTCCTAACCTCTGGGCACCACTTTCTCCTGTTTAGCCTAATTTCCAATCATCACAGGTCAACCCAGGTAAAATCTAGTTCCCCCTGAAACATTTTCAAGTGAGTGGGTTTCAGGGGGACACTATGGCAGAAGATCCAGCTTTCATTGGCAAAAATGAGATAATTCAGTAAGCTGTGCACACCACATTGTTGCTCTCCATGGTGATAAAAACAACAGAAAGCATAAGAGAACAGTGTAGGAATGAGGGCCATAGATTGAAATAGACAAAAATACAAAGCCAGAATATTTATATTAAGAAAAAAAAGCTAAAATGCACAAGATAGCTTATTTGCAGACAGCTAGTGCAGTTGGCTTCCTGGAGAAATGGGATCCAAGGGAGCAAATAAATAAAACCACATTGGCCCAGAATTGGGTGGGAGTGAGCTTAGGAGTGGCAGGTCTGCAGTTGTTCCTTAACCAGCCTTTTGCTGCTGTTACTACTTGTTGCTTGGGACAGTTCCCAGCACCCTATCCCAAGAGTGGGTATGAGGATACAAGATGTGAAAAAAGCCCTGCCTTACTGCTGAGAGATTCTCTTCTGCAGAAGGTAGTGGCTGTGGGTTGGGTCCATTAATCTGGTCTTATGCTTAATCATTCCACTCTAGCATGGGAAATATTATTACACATCCTTCTTAAAAAGGAAAACAACTTCCCCATCCAGGCCACTTTCAGAAGCTGGAGATTGTGGGAGTGGAGCCACAGACAAAGCATGCAGGTTCCAGGGCAGTTTCCCCCAGTGCCCTCTCTGGCACTGGGGTAGAGCGTGGCTGGGGTTCCTTAGCCTCGTCCCTTCCCCCACCGAGAGAGAAGAAGGGGTGATGCTCTGAACCCCAACCTGAGATACACTGCAGTACCGGCCACCCCCAGCCCATGCTGTGCCCACTTTCTCCACTCCGCCAGTGGATGCCTGCTCCTTGAAATTTCCTGATGGTGAAAGAATAGCCCCCACCACTGTGGGTCAGGTTGGGCACTCCAGGAGCAGGGCAGGATTGTCGGTCTCTTCTTTCTCCTGAAAGTAGGCTCACTTTCCCTGGGAGCCAGTGTCACTGTCAAGAAGTACCTGTGGGAGAATGAGACCATTGGAGCCCAGGGGGACCCCCTGGCTTACTGGGAGAAGAAGCGAGAAGCCTGGCCAACCCTGGCCAACCCTGGCCAAACTGGCTACCATCTATCTGTCTTGCCCCCCTAGGGGTGCCTTTTCTGAAAATATCTTTGCCTCCCTGAACAGCCCCACCATCATAGAACAGAACTCCTCTCTCAAAGTGGAGGTCATTGAGCATCTGCTCTTCTTGAAGACCAACCTGGAGAACTTCCCTAACTACACCCCTCCTCCCCTTAGCTTCTCCTGTAGTGACCTGGCTGAGAAACCGGAGACCCTCTAGTCTGCCCAGCGTGCGGGATAGCATGCACGGTGGGGTGCCTGTGGCCATCCTGGAGTCTCAGGAGCTCTGAAGAGCACCTATGCGTAGAAATTGCAGTAGATCAAAGTAGACAGCAGAGTGTTGCCTTATGGGATGTCAGACGGGGATGGCCAGAATCCCAAACCTATTTGGTAAGAATTGGGACAGTTTCTCAATTCTTGACTGATTGCTGTATTTTTTCTGAGAGATGTTATTTTCCATCTCCCCATTGCTTCATTTATATCTAGCATCATGTGCATAGAAAAGGCTTACTGTGCTCATAATGGTTATGAGTTGTACCCTATGGCTTTCTTCACTGTAATTCTCTATTGAGATAGTCGTGGGTATTCAGGACCTTGCATACACCCTGTCTACCTGGACAAAGGTATACATGCCGTTAAGAGGCTTGCTTTCTCAAAAAGTGGCCAGGGTGAAGAGGAGGCAGGTGCTAGCAGGTGGGATATGTCCTCAGCCACTGGGAGCCTAGGTGGCTGGAGCACTTTCTGAGGCCGCTTGCACTGTAGGAAGAAAGAAACCCCAAGGTGGAGTAGCCAGAGAAGGACGTGCACATATACCCCACACACACCAGTCGTCTTGGGCATTGTAGAGTGGCCAGAGAGCCCCTGATTGTTGGAACTGACCAGCTAGCCAATCCTCAAAATGTCATTCTTACCAGTAGTTTGTTTCCAGACTACTGGAAACCTTGGGGTTTCTTTCTTTCGATGGTGGAAAGAGCATCAGTCTCTTTCCCAGGCCCCCCGTGGCTGGTTATACATCCCGCCTGCCAACACCCTCACCCCCTTCACCTCCAATCCCTGGCCTCTTTTAAAGGGCAAATCCCTTATTTGGAAGAGAGAAAGGACATGTATAGAACCCATTCGGTAGAGTGCTGAGTGTTCCTTTAGGACATAGTGCGGGACCTGAGGGCTCGGGATCCAGGAAGGACTGGGCTTGGATTGGACGGGAGAAGAAAGAAAGGGAGAGGCTGGGAGTGTTGGGGCAACCCTGTCACCCCCATGAGACTTGCATCCAGGTGGCCTGAGGGTGCCTGGTCACTGGGAAAGGTGGCTGCAAAGATAAAGGTAGGAGGAGTAGGGGAGTCCTCAAGGCCATGGGGGTGAAGGGACAGACTGTCCCCTTACTGGACTGGCAGCCCTGGAAGCCCATTCCTGTGCCCTTCCTGGAGGACTAATTCCTTATGACTTTTGGGTGTCACTGAAAATGAAGGAAGCAGGAGAAGTTAACCATGCCCTTTCACTCAGAGGTAGCCTCTGTCAATACTTTGGCATATTTCCTCTTTTTACGTTGAGATCATGCCCTATGTACTATTTAATATCCAGTATTTTCATTTTCACAGTATAATAGCATTTTTCAAATAAAGCTTCGTAAGACATCATTTTTAATGGTTTGAGTAGCATGATTTGAATTAAAGTCTGGCCTCCAAATTGCTTAGATCACATCTCTCCCCACAGCAGCTAGGAGTGGGGAGTGGGGTGGGCACAGGCGTGTTCACAAGCTCCCCAGTGATAGCAGGTGAGGGCTGTGACGGAGCCTCCTTAATATACCCTGCTCTGAATCAAGTGCATCTGGGTAGTGGGGACAGGGCTTGCCCTGGACCCAGCTCTGAGACTCTCTCCTAGTATTCTGATTGGGGGTGGGGGTGGGGGAGGGACGTGATGCTGCCTAAAGTTGCCTTGGGGGCAGCATCCTGTTCTGTGCTGCCAGCCCTTGAGCTGTCCGAGCTGCTCTCAGAAGAGGCCTGGTGCCTTTGCTGTATGCCGCCACTGAACAGGCTCTGCAGCATTCTCAGAGGATGGGCAGGCCTGGAATGGAGAGGTGGCCGCAGTTGGGGGAAGAATATGAGGAAGATGGAGGGTGAGAGGAAGAGGATGAAAAAGCTTGATGGTCCCAAGCTGCGGGCCTGGGCTCTAGAGCCCTGGTTCTCAACTGAGGGCACTTTTGTTCCCAGGTGACATTTTTGGTTGTTGTAAGTGGGGGAAGAGGAGTGGTTCTGTTGGCATCTAGTGGTAAGAGGCCAGAGACGCTGCTAAACATTCTACAGTGCACAAAACAGCCCCCACAACAGAGACTTACTCTGCCCAAATGCCAGAGTTGGGAAGCCCTCTTAAAGTGTTGGGGGAGGGGAAGGAATGGGGCAGGGGAAGGGCCCCAGTTCACCTGAGGCTGCTCTGCGTTGAACCATTTCTCCCCCAGACTTAGCTCTGCCCTGCCTCTGCTGGCTCCAGGGCACATTTCCCAGGTAGATGAGGCTCTGCAAGGCTTGTCTTCCCTGGAGGCCCAAGGCCATCCCTGTCACCAAGTCTTCTTTCCAGATTCACTTCATTTCCACAGGACAGGGGTGATTCCCCTTTTCCACAGCAGAGCATTGAAGCAGGTGGATGTGTGGGAAGCTGTTCTCAGTCATTGTCTGCTGGTAGCCTGATGTTAGTTGGGTCTGTACCGGGCGATGGGCATTCTCAGGCTACGTGGTTGTGGTGTGCAGACATGAGGCACGATATGAGAGTGGGAGCAGGGCGGAGGTCATTGGTCCCCAAGAGAATCAGGGTTCTGCACAACTTACCATCAAGACCCAGGCAGCTTGCGTTGCAGTGAGGGCAGGACAGGGCCGTGCTGGTGCAGAGCAGTGTGCTGGAGGGCAGCATCTTACCAGTGTTGGTCCTTGAAAGCCTCACGTGTTCTCCCTGCAGCTGCTCTGCAGACTCAGTCATTCAGCCTCGTAAGTGGTGGTGTGTGCGCAGGAGTTCCTAACCATGTGCGCTACCAAAATAGTGTGTGGGGAGGGGTGCACATTCCTGGAGTGAAGCCCATAGCACAGCCTACAGCTGCAGCTGCAGCCAGAACCTGGTGCTGCACCACCATTCAAGCTCAGTGCCGCAGAGCTGGATGTCTTCTTGTCCCCAGCCTGTCCTGCCTGCATTCCACATGTTTGAGGAGGGCGTCCCTTGCGTGCCATCACCTAGCCAGATCCCCAGCTGTTACAGGCTCTTTTTCCTTCTCCCCATTGCCCTCCTTGGGGTCTGTATCTCTTGCTCATGTTTTTTATAGCAGGTTTCTAGTGCCTGGTGCTCCTGTACCCCCACTCTAGGGGCCAAATGCAAAGGTGATTGCTTCACTCCCACTTATAAACCCCAGCAGATCATGTTCACGTTGAGGGAGTCCCATCAGTAGATGCTTTCTGTCCGTTTTGGAAAGAAATGAGATATAAACAAAAAGGGAGCTAGGTAAGGAAATGGGGATCATGAGGACAAGGATCCCTGCTTCTCAGATGAGGTGTAGGGAGCAGCCTCCCCAGCCCCTGGTGGGAGTGCTGTGGATGTCTTACTGGCGCATGGGAGGAGCAAAATGGGTCAGGCTCTGGGCCTGGTCTCCTTGGAGAGGGGGAAATAAAAAGTGTTGATTATGTGAACTCAGACTTGGGGATCACCAATACCCTGCATCCACAGATCTGCAATCTCCTTGGCAGGCATCACCCCGTGGGCCTGGGTTAGACTCCTGAGGCTGGGCCTGGCCAAAGTCAGCAAGGTTGGGAAGCTGCACTTGGAGCCCAGGTCCATTCTTGTTTTCTTCTCTGCTTAAAGCTTGACCCTTCTGTGGGCAGTGTTGCCATTGTCTCTCTCCCAGGCTGCCTATCCCTTGCCAGTCTGCAGCACAGTCTTGCGCTAGCGCATGAGCTCACGCTGTCCCATGGCCACCGGTGACTTGACATGCCCCTTTCCCACTTCTCTGCAGCCAGTTTAGGTGCCACCCTGCCCCTCCCTCCAAGACTATGTGGCCTCTCCCAGCTTGCCCTTTTGGGAAATTATGTCATATTTACAGCTGGCATCATACTGTCTTGCACAAAATGATCAGTGCTGTGCTGTTGATCTCTGACCAGTTGATGCCAGAGCAAAAGAGCTAGTTTTGCCGGCAGTGGCTGGGGGAGGAATGGCATGGGAACCGGCCAGACCACTTACCCGGCCTTCCCTGTCCCGTCCCTCCTTTAACCTCAGTTTCCTCATCTAGGACTAAAGGCCTTACAGCTCCAACCAGAGGGCACAAGTTGGCCCACATTATCTGGAAACTGTTTTGAATTCATTGCTAATGTTAGAAATTGAGATGTTTTTGAGTGAATAAAACAGCCTGCTCTCATTGGTGTTAGCACGTGCATGGGCTATCCCAGGGAGGAAACAGGTTGGTGATGGTGGTTACCTACTGTCTATTCAAAAATAAAGCCGGGTCAATCCTAGCAACTTGGGAGGCTGAGGGGAGGATCACTTGAGCCCAGGAGTTTGTGACCAACCTGGACAACATAGCAAGACCACATCTCAAAAAGTAATAATAAATAAATTTAACTTTTTAAAAGAGAAACACCTCAAAATTAATAAGGCTAGATCATGGGTGGTTACTGAAAAATAATGGCATTTTACCCCCCATTTGGCCCCAGTTGGGATTTGACAATGAAAAGAACTGGTGACATTGGGCTGGAATCCCGTCCAACATGCCCCTAACTAGCCAGGGCTAGCCTGGACCTTGGGTTGGGGCCTGCACCCTCTCCCTGTCACTCAGGTGGGCTTTGTGGCCTGTGTCTCAGACCTTGGTCTCCTGGTCTTGCCTGGCCAAAGAGATGGTTGGCTCTGGTAGTAAAGGCAGGGTCAAACTTCATGCCATCACCCCTTGCACAGGACACAGGAATTGCTTGGGAGAGGCCTGCCTGCTTGACTGTTTAATTGTCTCTCCTTAGGGACTTGTTGGCCTCCAGCAGGGTATCCAAAACAGGCCTCCCAGCACTGGCCGGGGGAGAGTTGAAGGTGTCTGTTTTGGGGAGAGCAACTGGCTGACCCCCAGTGGCACCGACGTCCCTGTGACAGCACTGCCAGGATCCAGGCCATCTGAACAGACATCTGTCTCATGGAGCCTCCAGGGGAGAAGCCAGGAGAGGCAGGCAGGCTGCGCATCACGCCCCAGCTGCTGAAGTCACGTACGGGCGAGTTCGCCCTGGAGTCCATCCTGCTGCTGAAGCTGCGAGGCTTAGGGCTGGCCGACCTGGGCTGCCTGGGAGAGTGCCTAGGCCTTGAGTGGCTGGACCTGTCGGGCAACGAGCTCACCCAGCTGGGCCCACTGGCATCCTTGCGCCAGCTGGCTGTGCTAAATGTCTCCAACAATCGGCTGACCGGGCTGGAGCCACTGGCAGCCTGTGAGAACCTGCAGAGTCTCAATGCTGCGGGCAACCTGCTGGCCACTCCGAGCCAGCTGCAGTGTTTAGCCGGGCTGCGGTGCCTCGAGCACCTGCGGCTCCGAGACCCTCTGGCCAGGCTCAGCAACCCGCTCTGCACCAGCCCTTCCTACTGGGCTGCGGTCCGGGAGCTGCTGCCTGGCCTGAAAGTCATCGACGGTGAGCGTGTGACCGGGCGCGGCAGTGAGCTCTACCAGCTGTGCCGAGACCTGGACAGCTCCTTGCGCCCCAGCTCCAGCCCTGGCCCCAGAGCCACTGAGGCCAAGCCCTGGGTGGAGCCAGGGTACTGGGAGTCTTGGCCCACCTGGAGTAGCTCCATCCTGGAGGAGGCCTGCCGGCAGTTCCAGGACACCCTGCAGGAGTGCCGGGACCTGGACCGCCAGGCCAGCGACAGCCTGGCCCAGGCTGAGCAGGCACTTAGCCCCGTGGGCACCACCTCTTCCTTTGTCTTTTGAATGTGTCCCATGGCCCAGGACAGCCTGGCAGGTGGCCTCACTGCCTGTATCTTCCCTCCTTGCCTTTGAACTTGTCTTCAGTGTTTCCCCACGCTGGTCACCGCCCGGTCACTGGGCTATTCATTTATCTCTGTCCTGAGAGCAGCCCCTCCCCCTCTCCCCTCAAGGACATTTCTCCACCCTCCCTGCAAGTGACCCCACCCCCAAGTGACCTCTAGCACATGTTGTGTCCACAGCTGCTGCCACTCCTGCTGCTCCAGCCTGAGACTTGGTGGAGGTAATTACTTCCTCCTAAGGCTACAGGTGAGAAAGGTGGGATGGGCCAGCGACCTGGGAGAGTATGGGCAGGGCCTAGTGGCCAGAACATTCCTTATCACCCACCTTCCAGATTGGCCTGTCCAGATGACCCATCCTGTGCTCATCCAGCCCTCTTTATTAAACAGCTCTGCTTTCATTTGCATGACTGGGACACCTCTGGTCTCTCTCACAAGAGGCTCTGCTCACCCTGCCCACAGCCAAGGGCGGCCCTGCGCCCTGCCTTCCCTCGAGCAGATGGCCGGCCACCTGCCTCTAGGTTGAGCTGAGGAGGAAACAGGCAGTGCAAGAAGCCAGAAGAACACAGCTGGGAGAGCAGTTTTATTAGCTTGGGATATAATGAGATCCTCTCCCTGGGAGGGTGAGTCTTCTGATGGTTACTGCCTGCAGCGATCCAGGAAGCGGAATGAAAATCCAGGAAGGGAACAACAGATTTGAGTGTGAAGGAGGCTGTTTTGGTCCCAGTCCCAGCTTTCTTCCCACAGCTCTGCTCCCTGCCTCCCACAGCCCAACACCAGCCCACTGGACCAGGGTTTGTACTCCCTACCCACCGGCCACCTACCTGTCCAGGGCTCAGCTGTGGGGCAGGGCCTTGGAGAAGGCATACTGTCCAGGGAAGTAGTAGCTGTGGGGGTCCTCGCCGGCCCTCTGCACCCTGATGCACTGGGCTTCCTGGTGCTCCTCCAGCTCCTGCCAGCACCAGCAGCTGTTCAGGCAGTGTAGGGAGGGCGGACGGTGCCCAGGGGCGAGGGGGTGGGCAGCAACCACCTCCACACCTTCCAGGGAATGTCTATACCAGGCACAGTGCCCCTTCTCACCCTCCCGTCCTCTCTCCTCTCCCCACTTCCTGCCCCTCCACCCTCCACCCAGGCTTCTTGACCTCTCCCACAGGCCCATCTTCCACCCACCTTTCCAGCCTCTGCCCATCCCCTCTGTATCTTTGCCCTTTCTTACCCGCCGAACCTGGGTTTGTATGGGGCAGTGGACCATCCGGCCCAGAACTTTATCCTCAGAGTCCAGTTTGATGCAGGCCAGGCATTTCCGCTTCCTCTGGGGAGGGGAGCATGGGGCCCGGGGAGAAAGGGCACGAGTGAGGCATGTGCACCAACAAGAGTGAGAGCCCGGGGCTGCCCGAGATGGGGACCAGCTCCCAGGCAGCTCTCTAGCCCCCAGCAAGGGGTCGAGCATGCCAGGTGGTGGCAGGCACAGTCCCCAAGACTTGGAAATCTCAAACAGTCCTGCAGTTTTCAAACTGTGAGACTTCAGTGTGTGTGTAAGCAGGGATCCTTCCCAGACTGGGCAGGGGAGGGCGGCACGTATGTGAACAGCATGTGTGTGATGATGTGTGAGGAGTGTGGGAGTGGGTATGTGCATGTTTGCATGCATGTGCATACATGTGCTCATGTGAAAGCAAGAATCCTCCCCAAATGGGTTCTTCCCGCCTGACTTACACCAGAACCACTCCACTGTCATTTATTTACATTTTCTTGCAGGATTTGGTTTGAATGAAAGGGTCCAGAACAAGAGGTTTGAAGGTCAGTGCTGTATTCGAGGGCCCTCCTTTAGCAGATGGAGGGGACCAGGCCTTCACAGAACCCACGAAGCCCAGGATGGTGCCACAGTGGGAACCAGAACCCGGGTCACTGCACTCCCAGTCCAGGCATCACCCCCATAGCAGCGGTTTGCCCCAGGGTGGCTGACCAGCGTGGAGCCCTGCCATGAATCAGCCCACTCAGGGGTCTGGGGTGGGCGCGAGACAAACCCCACACCCTGGGCTTCTTCCACCATGACCTAAAGCCTGAGAGAGCTCAGACAGGTGAGCCCTGCCCTGAAGAAGAAAAGTCCTGGGTAACCCGGCCCTCCATCGCCCTGCCTACCAGGTCCCCAGCCCACTGCCCACCCTCACAACTGTGGGCTCAGGCTCAGCCCTTCCAGGTCTAGGGGGCTCCCCTACAGCCAACACTTGCCGCCTCACTCACACTCACCCCACTGGGCTTGACTTTGCACTCAGGTTTCTTCCAGTCCTTCTTCCGGCAGCTTGTCTGCTGGAGCCTAAATTCCAGCCTCACAAATGTCCCAGCTGGGAAGGGCTGTGGACAGACAGACAGGCAGACCGCCAGCGGCCACATGAGCAGGCAAAGCAATTCCTGGCTGCGACCCGCCCCTCCCCCACGGTGAAACAGCACCCCGAGGAGGTGGCTGGAGTGGGGCCCAAGCACCCCTCTGTACCCGCTTCCTGGGAATGTGCTGGTCTCCCACGGCGCAGCCCTCCCCCTTCCCGCGGGGCCAAGCCGCTAACCAAGTCCACGGCACTGTCCACGCCGGTCTCCTGGAAGGCCCATTGCACGGGCGGGTGCTTGTGGAACTCCTCCAGGGCCACCTGCAGGCCCCGCCGCTGCGTCCCTGTGAGCTCGGCCCCGCCCGCGCCCACGGCGCCCAGCCACAGCGCCAGCGGGATCAGCAGCCGCCGCATGGCTTCAGTTCTGCCACCCCGGCCCTGCAAAGGGGGTGTGTGCGTCCTCAGCTCTCCGTGCCAGCCAGGGCCGGCGCCTCCCCTAGCCTGTCCCTGGGGGGCATGCCCGGCAGAACGCTGGGCAGAGGTGGAGGGACGGGGAAATGTCCCTTTCTCCAGATAGCCCTTGGTGTCCGCCTGGTCGTTTCCACTCCCTCCCACCCTGCCCGCACTATTTCCTGGGGCCAGCAAAGTTTTAGCAAAGTTCCCTGCCAGCACCCGGGGAGCCCGGCTGCCCACTCCCACTCTCAGCGCCTCTCGGACCCATTCTCTCTCCCCGCTGGGTCTCCGAGCCCCTCTGCTCGCGAGTCCGGAATCTGCCGGCTCCCGCGGGGTCGCGCCCCGCACCACGGCTCGCCTCGGCCCACGCGCACGGCGGGGGAGGGGCAGGGCCCGGGGTGCGGAGAAGGGACCGGCTGCAGGCCGAATATTTTTGGGAGGACGTAAACACCCGGGAGGGGCCCTGAGCGGGTGGGAACTGCAGGGCGCTTAACCCTCCTCGCGCCAGAGCTGCCATCTGCCCTACTCCCGTCTCCAGAAATGGGGGTCTCGCCCCCGCCCGACCCTCAGCTAGCCTGCTTCGGGCAAGATCCTCACTCCCTGCCCTTTTTCCTGGGGCCTTCCCATTACCCCTCTTCCAGCCCTTGTGATCCGTCCCCTAATCCATGATTGGGGTCATCTGAGGGGGTGCCCCCCCCCCCCGGAGAACCCTCCCTGTACTGGTGGTCTTGGGACCAGAGAGCCACAGATGTGGAAACTGAGGCCCCCAGGGCAATTGCCTTAAAGCCAGGGCTTCGCACATTTCGCCCCTGGAACTGCTCCCTCCGCCCGCCCACTATCCGCCAGCCCACTCGTCCCAACTCACCTCCTTCCCTGCGTCTTGGGGTCGCCCCTAACCGTCCTGAGGCTGAAATCCTGGCCCGGGCGGCCGCCTCTTCCCGCTCTTCCCCGCCCCCCACGCCGGCGGGCCGCCCCCCTTTCCTCCCGCCCCCACCTCGGCCCCTGCAGCCAGTCCGCTGCGCCCGGCCGCGCGGGGACCGGCCTCCCGGCCCTCCCATCCCAGCCCACCCCCTTCGCCCACCCCATCCGCCCCGTGACCCTGACCCCGCCGCGGGGCGGGCGGCTCGCTGGGCTGCCCTGGGCCGCCGAGCTGGACTTGAGGCTGGGCCGCCCTCGATCCCACCTCCTGCTGGCTGAGGACCCGAAGCCTTCGGTTCTCGGGGCCCCTTCTCCGCGGGATGTGGGACTGCTGTGCTCCCTGAAGGGCCTTCTGTGCCCCCTCCTGCCCAGGTAGGGCTGCCTTTTCTTAGGTCCTTCCCGGGCGACCATGCCCCAGCGTCCCTGAGACACTCATTTCAGAAAATTCTCAGAAATACAGACACCCTCAAACCAAAGGAGACTTTGAGGAGTCCTTGGTCCCTCTCCCTGCCTGCCGCACCCTAAAGCCACACTGAAGAGGAAGGTTTCTCCTTTAGGCATGACTCTGGTGTCTGACAACCTTTGTCGCCAGCAAAGACGTCCAGTCTGGATCCTACATGCTGCTTTTCCTGCCCTTTTCCTCATGCCCATCCCTGATGGGGACAGACTCCGGGTCTCATGTGGGGTGTTGGGAAGCCTCTGGTAGGGCACACTGGCGTGGTGGAATGTGTAAGGAAGCGGAGGAACACAGGGCCCAATATCGGCTCAACTCCTGGGTGCGAACAAGCTTTGGGACTTGCACGTCAGTAAACACCACTATTTGTCTAGTTCTAAGCCTGTGCTAACCACCTGAAATAGAGGATCTCATTTAACTCCCCAAATCTCTCTCTGAACCTCAGTTCTTTATTTGTAAAATGGGTATCGTAAACTCTATCTTGAGTCATTTTGAGGATTAAAGGAGGAAACATATGAAAAGTGACTGGTGCCCAGTGTTAGGCACAAGGTTCTCATCCCCTCCCTACACGCCCTCTGCCAGGACTCTCCATACAGAGCCAGAGCTTCCTTTACTCTGTGCTCCAGGGGCACAGAAAGAGCCTCGGCTATTAGCCAGTTACTCCTGCCTGAAATCCCACCGCTGGCATTTCGTCCCCAGCTGCGAGTCACGCAACTATCATTAAGCGCTAAGAGATGGGGGTCTTTGTTTCGCGAGAGCTTTAGATGGGGCAGAGAGACGAGATGCACACACAGATGTTTCCCAGCCTGAGGCCCTGAAGGAAACCAAAATATTTCACCCCAAAATATACTTCTTTGACACATTTCAGGATGGCTATTCAGGAGGGCTGGAAATAGAAGAATAGCGGAAACGCTGTCTTTTGTGGGGGAGATGTGCGTCTGTGATCAGCCAGGCTTCCAATGAGGCCCCTCTAGCCTGGATCTGGGAAAGATGAACTGGGAGTCTGACACCTTTAAAGGTCAGAAAGAAACATTTTCCTTTCTATTCTCTCTGAGGGCTGCCACCTGTGAGGTTCATTTACATAACAAGACAACCTTTGCTAGCCAGGCCTCCACTTCTCCCTCTTCCATAACCTATTTTGCCACTGTAATTTGCCCCATTCTTTCTTTAACCTCAAGGTGGCTTCTGTACCCATTGGGGGATTGGGGTAATTGCTCAGTGGTTCTCTGTGCCTGTTGTAAAAGAAAATAAAAGTCCCAGGACCCCCCTCCCAACTCCTTATACAAAACCCCACAGATCATTCGTTAAGGAAATTTCCTGGCCTCCCATAAGCAAGGACATGCAAACTGTAACTTCAGGTCTGCGGGCTAGTAAAGCTCCTAAAACTAAAGTCTGTTTGATTCCACACTAATAAAGAATTGCAAGTTTATCCTCCCAGGTGCAGAACAGAGATGAGACAGCATCAGACATTCTTCCATCTACCCAGGGACGTCTATATAATTGATGCCTCCTTCACTCCCTTTTTCTCTTCTAGCATTTGCTTTATCTTATATAAATTGTACATTTTCCTGGGTCTCACAAGAATGTCACTATTTTGTCTCATTATGCCCTGCCCGGTTTTGTTCCTTTCTGTATACCCTACTCCCCTTTAAATAATGAAACTTCCAAATTCCCCTTTAGAAAAACAGCCACGGACTTGCCATCTGTGGTTTGTGTTTTTCTGGGGCGCGTCCTCAACTTTGGCTTAATAAACCTCCATTGATTGAGCTCTTTACCTCAGTCACTTATTTTGGGTTGACAATGTTGTCAACTGAAGAATAATGAGGTTCATAAATTTGGAAAGGACAACCTTATTTCTTATAAATTTGGAAAAAATATGAATGAATAAATATAAATTACTGTAAAATAGACATTTGTAAAGTATATAACAATCATACAAATGCACAACAGTAAACAATGTGGTCCGAAAGCGCTCAGCAAGCGCCCATGTTTGTGGTTGTGTTCGAACTGTGTGGTGGTAGGAGGTGCTCCTTACAGTTTTTGCTTTGCAAACATTTACTCCTTGATTTAACCCCCACTGCTACCACCACCATCACTCACTGACTCACTAAAAGTTGGGTAATTACCTTACTTGTTTTTATTAATTTTGTATACATGCATTTACTAGATGTGTACATAGCTCAGTTATTTCAATGTTTAATATTAGAAGTGTTTGGGGTCTTTATTTAGACGTTTGGTGATGTTTTTGACCAGAAATATGCTGTAGGAACTTAACTCTTGTCTATGTCAATTAGCCTGTGGTAGAACTGGTTTTGTCTTATGTCATTTCACTTAAAGTTGCAGTTCCCGAGAACTTATCGACAATGTTAAGTGAGGACTTACTGTATGTCTGTTTTAAAAATGTCTGTTGCGGCCTGGCCAGTGGCTCACGCCTGTAATCCTAGCTCTCTGGGAGGCCGAGGCGGGCAGATTGTTTGAGCTCAGGAGTTCAAAACCAGCCTGAGCAAGAGCGAGACCCCGTCTCTACTAAAAATAGAAAGAAATTAATTGGACAACTAAAAATATATAGAAAAAATTAGCCGGGCATGGTGGCGCATGCCTGTAGTCCCAGCTACTGGGAGGCCGAGGCAGGAGGATCGCTTGAGCCCAAGAGTTTGAGGTTGCTGTGAGCTAGGCTGACACCACGAGCCCGGGCGACAGAGTGAGACTGTGTCTCAAAAAAAATAAAATAAAATAAAATAAAAAAAAGAAGCGATTTGTCTTTGAAGCAAAAGCACATCAGTTTCAAAACCACACCTGTCCAAGTTAAGTAAATTTGCTAACTCTTGTGTCAATTCATTATAATTAACATAAATTCAAAATAATATTGTGTGAATTCAAAAGCAACTCTAAATTTACCAATATCAATAAAGTATTCTTCAAATTTTTCTTATAATTTTTGTAGCCAATTTACATAATGTTGTCTACTATAATTAAAACCTCTGCATATTAATTCATGTGAAAAAACCATGGGAAATAGTAATTATCGATCACTATTATGAAAATATTTAATTTGAAATTTTTATATTTGGCTAGGTCACAAATGAGGTTTCCTTTCCTTGCAGTTCAAATTTAGCTCAGTTATATGCAGTGTGATATCCGTGAGAAAAATCACACTGACATTTTTTGTCTTTAATTATTGAATATTTGTTAAGCATTCAGTAAATGGTGTCAGGATATATGGCTAGCCTTGTGGGGGGAAAAAGAATAATACTGGTTCCAGCCTCACTTTTTACCCTATAATAAATTCAAGATGAATTGAATTAAATGTACCAGATGACAACATGAGGATTTTGTTTTCCTAATAAGTTCTTACTGGGGAAAAATAACACAAAACCCAAACTCCATAAGAGAAAAGATTGGTGAATTTGACTACATGACTATCAAGTGTTTCTCCATGATTAAAAAAAAAAAAATTCAGGCTGGGTGCAGTGGCTTATGGCTGGAATCCCAACACTCTGGGACGTTGAGGTGGGAGGATCGCTCAAGGCCAGGAGGAGACCAGCCTGAGCAAGAGTGAGACCCCATCTCTACAAAAAATAGAAAAATTAGCTGGGTGTGGTGGTGGCTTGTGCTTGTAGTCCCAGCTACTTTACTTGGGAGGCTGAGGCAGGAGGATCGCTTGAGCCCAGGAGTTTGAGATTGCAGTGAGCTATGATGATGCTACTGTACTCTAGCCCTCTAGCCCTGGAGATAGAGTGAGACCCTGTCTCAAAAAAAAAAAACAAAAAAAAGCCATCCTGTAAATATAGGATTTCTTTTTTTAAACTTCCATTCTGCTCTGTGTTTCACGGTGTGATTTTGGTCTGTCACGCTGGAGGCATTCCTCAAATGCCTGATTAAATAAAGCTTGATAGGTAGGTGGGGCCTCGTCAACCAACTGGTGGGCTGTGTTATAGGGTGATCGAGTAGTAATGATAATTTTCTTTGAATGATCCCAAATATCAGTATTATCTATATGTCCTATGTCTTTTCTTTGGGCCTGTACAGTTTTTCCAAAAAAGTATTTGTTCCCTGAGCTTCTGCCACAGCCAGGCTGTTTGTGTCCTGGGTGCCAAGTGGGGCAGGAGGCAGGAGACTTTGACTTTACCTCCTCATGTTCATCCGGGCCCTCTGCCCTCACCTGGTTCCCTCTCTACAGAGTAAACTCCGGTCTCCTGCAGGGGTGGAGGAGGGTGTCCTCCGATGGCCCCAGCTTCACTTCTGTGTCTCCTGCACCTGGTGCTCTGGTCTGGGGCCTTTGCAGGGGTCAGAGGATTGAAACCTCTTGCTCCTGTAGACACCCCCGCCCCGCCCCATTGCAGGAACTCTGTTCTGCTCAGTCCCTTACACTGTTCCTGCCCCACCAGCTTTTTCCTTGTCAATGTGTATGTTTTTATTCCTTTACTGTCATTTTAATAGAGTTCTGGGAGGGAGTGGGGATAAACATATGTGTGTAACCTGCTATGTTTAACCAGAGTCTATGAGTTACTTACAAAAACAAATTACTACATTGAAAAAATATATATATATGAATTGTGGGGACACATTTAGCTCTTAAC